GAGTATCACTTCACAGTACATGTTGTGTGGTCTATTAGTCAATGAACTGTGGTTGTTACTCTATAAGAGTATATCACTTCACAGCACATGTTGTGTTGTCTATTAGTCAATGAACTATGGTTGTTACTCTATAGGAGTATATCACTTCACAGTACATGTTGTCTGATCTATTAGTCAATGAACTGTGGTTGTTATTCTATAAGAGAATATCACTTCACAGCACATGTTGTGTGGTCTATAAACCGATGAACTATGGTTGGTACTCTATAAGAGTATATCACTTCACAGTACATGTTGTCTGATCTATTAGTCAATGAACTTTGGTTGTTACTCTTTACGAGCATATCACTTCATAGTACATGTTGTGTGGTATATTAGTCAATGAACTATTGTTGCATTGTTACTCTATACGAGTATCACTTCACAGTACATGTTGTGTGGTCTATTAGTCAATGAACTATGGTTGTTACTCTTTACGAGTATATCACTTCATAGTACATGTTGTGTGGTCTATTAACCGATGAACTATGGTTGGTACTCTATAAGAGTATCACTTCACAGTACATGTTGTGTGGTCTATTAGTCAATGAACTATGGTTGCATTGTTACTCTATACGAGTATCACTTCACAGTACATGTTGTGTGGTCTATTAACCAATGAACTATGGTTGTTACTCTATACGAGTATCACTTCACAGCACATGTTGTGTGGTCTATTAACCAATGAACTATGGTTGTTACTCTATACGAGTATCACTTCACAGTACATGTTGTGTGGTCTATTAACCAATGAACTATGGTTGTTACTCTATACGAGTATCACTTCACAGCACATGTTGTGTGGTCTATTAACCAATGAACTATGGTTGTTACTCTATACGAGTATCACTTCACAGCACATGTTGTGTGGTCTATTAACCAATGAACTATGGTTGTTACTCTATACGAGTATCACTTCACAGCACATGTTGTGTGGTCTATTAACCAATGAACTATGGTTGTTACTCTATACGAGTATCACTTCACAGCACATGTTGTGTGGTCTATTAACCAATGAACTATGGTTGTTACTCTATACGAGTATCACTTCACAGCACATGTTGTGTGGTCTATTAACCAATGAACTATGGTTGTTACTCTATACGAGTATCACTTCACAGCACATGTTGTGTGGTCTATTAACCAATGAACTATGGTTGTTACTCTATACGAGTATCACTTCACAGTACATGTTGTGTGGTCTATTAACCAATGAACTATGGTTGTTACTCTATAAGAGTATCACTTCACAGCACATGTTGTGTGGTCTATTAACCAATGAACTATGGTTGTTACTCTATACGAGTATTACTTCACAGTACATGTTGTGTGGTCTATTAACCAATGAACTATGGTTGTTACTCTATAAGAGTATCACTTCACAGTACATGTTGTGTGGTCTATTAGTCAATGAACTATGGTTGTTACTCTAGCAAGTTATGAGGTCAATTTCTACCTCATTGGCCAGAAATGGTAGACTAGGGACATGAAAATGAAAATACTGCAAGGTAATCAGATTTTTCCAGTGGTTCAACAATGATTATAAGTCAGACCAAAACCTAAGATAACCATTTCTTTGAGACGTTCTATCTGGACAGTAGGTACATGTTTGTAGTATCTTGTATTGTTTTTGACAGATGCAGGTAACCATGGTGTAGGATTCCTTACCAAGTGGAAACTACTGTTATACGGCAGTCCAATGTCTCAAGAGGAGTTTCAGTACCGCAAGAAGTGAGGCTTAGCTTACGATCTTATGACGGACCCTAGCCTATTCATACTAAAACAGTTCTCTCTATTGAGGAGGGAGACTGCCTATTTTGAACCTTACTTAAATTTAGTATTTTCGACCAATGAATTTGCTAAACTATTCTTACATTCTAAGATCTTATGATTTCATCTGAAAGAAAAACTTAAAAATATGTCATTTAAATGGTTATTTTGTCTCTATGTGGTATATACACACTTTTTATTCATTTTGTTAAATTTGAGAATGCAAAATCTCCCCCATGGAAATTTAAAAACGTTGGCTAGTATGCCTTTTTACTTGGGATATTGTATAACATGTCGGTCCAATTCTAACCTAAGGAAGTATTGTCACTGGAGAAACAATATTCACTAAAGTTAGAAAATCAGTTTTCATTTATCATGAAAGTTATTTTAGTGATACAGCAAATTTTATAGCCACATGGCTTCATTATTGGGGAACAAATTAAATATTAAATCTGAATAATCACGACTAAAATAATTGAAATAGATATATGTTATTTTGAATAAAAATGTAAAATACTAATTGATTGTTAATCCCAGATAATAAGTTACTTTGAATATTATCATGTCTTTCATTTTCAATTTAATTTCAAATTAAAATGCATCCATTCTCAGTATAGCTCTAGTGAGTTTCCTGAAAAAGAATAAGTATGAATTATTAATAGTTCTAATACAGTAAACACAGCCACCAGTGTAGATGTGTAAAACAGAAAAAATATGACTTTTCTGTTTTTGTAGAGCGGTTCACAAAGCTATGAGTGGAGAGTTCCTAAATGACACATATCATCTGCCATGTGGAGACCCGCGTGTCAAAGCCAGACCTGACGCTCCAATGTCAGAGAAAACTCTCAAGGTAATCAATAACAGAAAACTCTCAAGGAAATCAGTGTCAGAGAAAACTCTCAAGGTAATTAATGTCAGAGAAAACTCTCAAGGTAATGAATGTCAGCGAAAACTCTCAAGGTAATCAATGTCAGGGAAAACTCTCAAGGTAATGAATGTCAGCGAAAACTCTCAAGGTAATCAGTGTCAGAGAAAACTCTGAAGGTAATCAATAACAGAAAACTCTCAAGGTAATCAATGTCAGAGAAAACTCTCAAGGTAATCAATGTCAGAGAAAACTCAAGGTAATCAATGTCAGACAAAACTCTCAAGGTAATCAATAACAGAAAACTCTCAAGGTAATCAGTGTCAGAGAAAACTCTCAAGGTAATTAATGTCAGAGAAAACTCTCAAGGTAATGAATGTCAGCGAAAACTCTCAAGGTAATCAGTGTCAGAGAAAACTCTCAAGGTAATCAAACTGTAAAGGAATTGACAATCAAACAATCTGCCTGTCCATTAGTTTTTATACCTATGGCATTGAAATTGGGAAGGTGTACTCGAATATGTTGTCAGTTCATTACTGTAGACAGAATCCTGTCCTTGCAACTCCTCCAACTGTTTTTTATCAAAATGTCTTAAAACTCCGCTTTTCTTTTTTTTGGTAATTTTTTGGCGGGTATGGGACAGAATCTTTTCCTGACAATGCCTGATTCCTAATATATATTTTTATTTCAACAATATTGTTTAGAACTAGAAATTGTTGGCTAACAATTTGGCGGGCTTTTCACCCCTGTATCGACTGATTTGACCTTCTAATAATAACCTGTGCAAGTCTACAGTATCTGACTGAGTAGTGGGGGATTCCCAGAGTGCGAAATGACGTCGGAGAAAGACTGGATAAATATAGGCAGCCAATGGGCTTGGTTGTATAGGAATGTAGTCCGTAAATGTCGTCATATAGTCCGTCCACTATGTACGTCAGGATGATTAATTGAAACTATCTTTGTGTCTATATCGGTTGGGTTTGCCACGCCAAAGAAAGGCTGCGCATGATGATTACCCACTGCAATAGCGATGTAAACTGTCCATATTTTTAAGATTGGGAGTGCGTAGTAATCGATGTAGTATTACCAACGTATATTAGATGTCTTGAGAAAAATCAAAGTACTGAGAGTACTGAAAGCACTTGACAATCGCACAAAAATGAAAACGGTTTTTGACTTTCACCTTTGAAATTATATTTAGAGTAGGTCAAGGTCGTTCATTTGCACACACTTAAAAGTCATTCAAGATCAATAATTTTTTCAAACTTGATAGTGAATCACCTGACCATGTTATGTATCAAATAGTAGGACTCTAGACCTTGTAGAACTTAAGAAGAAGTTTTTTGAAGTCATTATCTTGAAATAGTACATATGAAGTTTGTGACCTTGATTGTGACCTTGATAGTTGATCAATGTCAACCATTTTTTCAAATCTGATACCCGGACATCTCAGTATCTTTATTATCAAATATCAAGACTCTAGACCTTGTGGAAGTTATGAAGAAGATTTTTTAAGGTTGGTACCCAATATAGTGCCTTTTAACTTTGACCCCTGCCGAAAACCGGAAGTTGACATTTTTTGTTAAAACAGTATAAAAGAAAAAGTTTGCGCTTACTTATCTCTATATGATATCCAAAGATCAACCTCATGTTTGATATCGTTAACTAAATATATTGGTATTTTTCGAAATATTCTTGATTAAAAGTCATTTTATTTTTTTAAACATTTGAAATTTGTGACCTTGATAGTTGATCAATGTCAACCACTTTTTCAAACCTGTTACCCAAACATCTCAACACCTTAAATATGAAATATCAAGACTCTAGACCTTGCGGAACTTAAGAAGAAGATTTTTTAAGGTTGGTACCCAATAAAGTGCATTTTGACTTTGACCCCTGCTGAAAAACGGAAGTTGACATTTTTTGTAAAAACAGTATGAGAGAAAAAGTTTGCTCTTGCTTATCTCTATTTGATATCCAAAGGTCAATCTCGTGTTTGATATCGTTAACGAAATATATTGGTATAGGCTGTTAACCAATCAGAGTTGGTGGCGGCCATCTTGGAATATTAATTGCTCCAAAAAACATAAGTTCGTAAGGACCCCTAGAGAAATACATGTACCAATTGTGGTTAATATTGCATTGGCAGAATTGGAGAAGAAGATCGTTGAAGTTTGTAAAAATAGTGTCGGATTTTCAAAAAAGATCAAAGACTATAATGAACACTCCATAGGACGTTAACGGTAAATGTTACAGAGAAACTAAAGACATCAAATTCATCGAAATGACATTCTGCATCGATCTGTAAAAGTGTTTTTCCAAAAAAAAAAGAATTTAAAAAGTTTAAAAAATTGAGACCTTTGACCCAACAGCGAGCTTTTTTATTTGACCTTCTTTTGAGATAAAGCACTGACATAAAAGTTAGCCCCGAAGATTATCTACATATAATATAATTGCGTCAATTCTGTAAGTGAATTCGTTTTTGAGTTATAGCTATTTTAAGATTTTGAGGTATGACGTCATAGTGGCCATATTGTATTTTTGACCTACTTTAAAATGTTTCGTTGACATCTTCAGACCTACAACATACCTAATAGACTATAAACCTATCTTTTACCAATCAAAAGATACAGATTCCACAAAGTAAGGAAGAAGAAGAATAAGAAGAAGAATAATAATAAGAAACTTAACAAAAACGATAGGTCTTTTCACCAGTTGGTGAAAAGCCCTAATTAGCACCTTTTCTGATACCTTTTTAAAGTTTGTTTGAAGCAGTACCACCTACCTTCTGGGTCAATATTAATGAAATTTGGTACGCATTACCTGTACCTTAAGAAGTTGTTAAACTAGATTTATTTTTATTTTATTTTATTTTTTTAGTGCATGACTTTTTTTTTACTTGGAAGGTTTATGTTGTAGTTTATTATTTATAATAAACTTTGTTTGTAAACAGCCCTTTGTTTATATGTCATGTGCAACATTGTTGATTTTAAGTATTAAGGTGTGTTAGAGATACATGTGGATAAATATAATATATTATCTTAATACCAGCATGTGTACCAATTTTTTTTAAGAAACTATCGGAGCGTGCAGACGCATATTACATCAGCTTACCGCCATCCACCCCAACCTCCACCTTACAAAATGTATAATTATTACAGTGTATACATGTATACTTCAGCATCAGGTTCTTGATTACATTATTGACATACGTCTGCAAGTGTTCCAAGGAGTACAGTAGCATAAGTAAACGGAGCCATTAGGGTTGTTACATGTATTTTTATTGAATGATGAAAGAGCAGACACAAGTCGCATAGAGTGAAGTCATATACAGATGTACATGTACTTGTATATTTATTCAAATGTTATAGTACTGGGGCTATATCATGGTAGGGATATAGGGAATACAGATCAGAGGTATAGACTATGGGAGGTACAGGAGGTACACAACACATATGTTGTTGTATTCAGCCCCCATGTTAATATACAGTTATACCTACATAATAAGGTGCCTATAAGTTATAATAAGGTATCCTATAGATCCAGGATTTTCCAACAATGATGAATCCTCTCATAGGATTGGTACAATATGGGCTAACGGGGCCCATGTGTCCGATCCAGGATTCAGGAAATATCCTCTCATGGGATCCAGGTATATGATCAGCTACTCATCATGTCTGGATCCAGGATTGTCAGAAATATCCTCTCATTGGGGTCCGTTTTTTGATAATGGGAAATCTCATCCAGCCGTTGGGACCAGGGGCTACCGTTTCGCTCCTGGGGGGATTTATTGGCAGTAATCCTGGGACAAGGGGTGAAAGTTCACTCCTGGTAGGATAACGTCAGTAATCCGTGAGATTTCCATAGCTTATATATGTGTAGTATGATATAGCCCCCAAGGCCAAACCTAAATGTAGATCATCATGAAATGTATATATTTGTGTATTGTTTATTTCTTCTGTTATATGTATAAACATGTGTATGCTGATTTATAAGACATATACAACAATGTTGGTCATGATAGCATTGCATACCTCTACAGTTAATAAATAGCATTTATTAAACTGTATCATATTGTTCTGGTTGTTTATAAATCACCCTGTGTCATATCATTCTGGCTGAAACTATTTAATTATATTGTCATTTGTTGCACAATTGGTAAATAAATGTGGTGGTTTTTTCAAAGAACACAATAGCAAAAATATTTGTCAATTATGTAATTTATATAAAATTCTGAAATTATTTGTTTTCAATGATTTAGATGCAATCATGACACCTTCAATTTTTTAATTATTTTTGATGATTTCAGATACTGGCCTTGGTCAGTGCGTTCTGTCTCATCATGGCTATATACGAGAGTCTGGAATATGGCCTCTGTTACAAGGAGGAAAAAAAGGAACAAAAACAACGTAAAAACCTTAGGAAAGATGCCGGCTATATGGCTAATAGGAACAGGGTCGGAGGTCATGACTCATCAGAAACTAGAGCCCTATTGCAAGAGGAAGAAGAAATCCCATTGGATATTATATCGTCCAATCAAAATAATTCATCAACATCATCCATTCATAATAATTCAAATCCAAGCCTTGACACAAGTTGGAACAGTTTTTCCGAGAGTGACATGAACCTACAACGAATGCCTGACCTCGGGGACGAGGAGGAGGAGGAGGAGGAGGTCGTCTACTCGCAACAACGTAATGATTGGAGCAAAGCATGTGATAGCCAACAGAGAAACACGCCCGTATATGCAAGCATAGCCAATCAGAGCACTTCCTTGTTGACCAATCACAACACAGAATGAGTAAACGGGGGATGGTATACATGAGATATTTTATCTGTTGACTTGATATACATACTTATGTGGTTCCTTTCTATTCTTCAAATATAACATTTATAAAAACCTGTCTTCCAGTACAAGTAGTTGTTCTCAAGTAAGCTCCATAGTATTGTTATAATGGAATAACATGTGTTGGATTGCGATGCTCAGTATAACTGTATTTCTGTTTGAGTTGTAACATTGCTTACACATGTTTACAGTTTAACCAATGTAATGGAGAGAGACAGGAGGTTCACAGTCAGTTATGACAACACTGAGTTAATGCTTCCATCACAATCCTAACAACTGATTCCTGATTTTGTTTCCAAGTCAATTTAGTCAATAATGTTAATTTTCAAAATATGTTTTTTGCCTTTATCAATAATTTAAAATCTTCAAAATATAACCTTTTAACTTGGTCAGTAACATAAATGTTTAACTCAGTCAATTACTTAAATTATCAAAATATAATCTTTTAACTTGGGTCAGTAACATAATTTTTTAACTCGCTCAATAATTTAAATTTTCAAAATATAACTTTTTCGCTTGAATTGGTCAATAACATGAATTTAAAAAAATCAAAAAAAATCCAGTCTAATGAAAAATAACACTTTGATGAAGCTGCTGATCAAAACACAAAGAAACTGTTAGACTTTGTAGAATGTCTTCAAACTTCCGATTGATGCCAAACACCTCACTGTTCATCATTCCACACTTCCTTTTCACCCTATCTCATCTTTTGTATCACCTTATGTTTGTTATCTTCTTCATATCAGGCCTTCATTTTTATTTATTTTTTCCCCTTTTCATTTTTGCTAAAATCAAGTGTTACATTTGTTTATTTTTAATATTTCATGTACCGGGTAGATTTAATCCCTCAATAGTACTGTATGCATACTCATTTTCCAACACTTTTAAGATTATATTTCACAATGATTGTTTATGCTGAAGTACATAGAGCACAAAAAATCATTTCTATTCCAAATATTTGTTCTGATTGTTTGATCCGCCACGTTGGAGAAACATCTTCCCGGGGTTGATAAATTATTATATGTCCTCAAAAGAATTTTATAATTATAATTCAGGAACTATAACATGTGTTAATTCATATATAACTCAATTATAGTTGTGTTAAATATCTTAACATTTTGATTATTTATAAAATATGGATCTATTTATGTCATTGATAAATGTATTTCATTGCTCAACGTTTTTTTATGTTTGCCTTTTCTTTTGCTAGCAATAATGTGTGTGTAGACTGCTGTAGTCCCAGTTTTACACAGTGGTATTTGGTGTTCCTTTATAGCGCAAATAATAAAACCCCAGTACAAAATTACTGTATGGTAAATATCAGGATACTTTCGTTAAAATTGTTATAGAAATGTAAATTTTGAAAGTTTAACTAGAAAGTGAAACCTGTATATGAAATCTTAATTTTAAAATTTAAGATTTAAAATCTTGCCATTTGATTGTCATAGTCTGGTTACCTAGGGGAGAGAGTAGAGCTAAATCTAACAGACATTTGATTGTCATAGTCTGGTTACCTAGGGGAGAGAGTAGAGCTAAATCTAACAGACATTTGATTGTCATAGTCTGGTTACCTAGGGGAGAGAGTAGAGCTAAATCTAACAGACATTTGATTGTCATAGTCTGGTTACCTAGGGGAGAGAGTAGAGCTAAATCTAACAGACATTTGATTGTCATAGTCTGGTTACCTAGGGGAGAGAGTAGAGCTAAATCTAACAGACATTTGATTGTCATAGTCTGGTTACCTAGGGGAGAGAGTAGAGCTAAATCTAACAGACATTTGATTGTCATAGTCTGGTTACCTAGGGGAGAGAGTAGAGCTAAATCTAACAGACATTTGATTGTCATAGTCTGGTTACCTAGGGGAGAGAGTAGAGCTAAATCTAACAGACATTTGATTGTCATAGTCTGGTTACCTAGGGGAGAGAGTAGAGCTAAATCTAACAGACATTTGATTGTCATAGTCTGGTTACCTAGGGGAGAGAGTAGAGCTAAATCTAACAGACATTTGATTGTCATAGTCTGGTTACCTAGGGGAGAGAGTAGAGCTAAATCTAACAGACATTTGATTGTCATAGTCTGGTTACCTAGGGGAGAGAGTAGAGCTAAATCTAACAGACATTTGATTGTCATAGTCTGGTTACCTAGGGGAGAGAGTAGAGCTAAATCTAACAGACATTTGATTGTCATAGTCTGGTTACCTAGGGGAGAGAGTAGAGCTAAATCTAACAGACATTTGATTGTCATAGTCTGGTTACCTAGGGGAGAGAGTAGAGCTAAATCTAACAGACATTTGATTGTCATAGTCTGGTTACCTAGGGGAGAGAGTAGAGCTAAATCTAACAGACATTTGATTGTCATAGTCTGGTTACCTAGGGGAGAGAGTAGAGCTAAATCTAACAGACATTTGATTGTCATAGTCTGGTTACCTAGGGGAGAGAGTAGAGCTAAATCTAACAGACATTTGATTGTCATAGTCTGGTTACCTAGGGGAGAGAGTAGAGCTAAATCTAACAGACATTTGATTGTCATAGTCTGGTTACCTAGGGGAGAGAGTAGAGCTAAATCTAACAGACATTTGATTGTCATAGTCTGGTTACCTAGGGGAGAGAGTAGAGCTAAATCTAACAGACATTTGATTGTCATAGTCTGGTTACCTAGGGGAGAGAGTAGAGCTAAATCTAACAGACATTTGATTGTCATAGTCTGGTTGTTGTATACATGTTTTTGTATAAAACATGGTTTCGTTACTTCTTTAATGGTATTTATAGACAAGTTATCTGAATAGACAGGTGACAGTTTTAGGCAGGTTGTTATGTAGAGGAAACCCTATTTAATAATTTAATAAATGTTATTTATTTTTCAACAATTGCCAAACAAGTTCTATTAACTTACCAGGTATATTAATCACTATGTAGCCGGATTCTAGAAGCAGGGGTCTTAATGTAGGTGGAAACAAGAGGGCCCGGAGAAAACCCACTTGGTCGAGCAGATGGCCACATACCTTTTCACATTTGATCGGTGAAAGGCGAGTGCGATACCAACTGTGCCGACCGACCATCCAACACCCACTTGGAGTATTGATTTGATAGCTATTGAAAGCAGCTAGTCTTTATAGACAGGAGGTCCTTATATACAGGTTTCATTCTGCATTCTTTGAGAAAATCAATGTTCAAAATATTTAGATTTAAGTCTGTTATCAGTGTCTGGTTGGTCAAAACTCTCGTTACGCTAATTATGACGTCAAAACAGAATAATATGTCTAACAGTCGCACCAGTGGTAGTTATCCAGACTTAAATTACAAAAGTTTGCTCACTGACCTCTTGCTTTTTTTTATATATTTCAAATTATTTGTGATTTGGATTTGCATACATCTATCCGTGTGTAAAGTAAAAGGATTAGAAATACTGACTGTTTTGAAGGTCATTTCATACGAAATACAACGTTTAGAGGTGACCCTATCATGACCAAATCTAGCAGAATGAACCGCGGTCTTTGGTGAAGCCTAAATAAAATAAAATTATGATCATGATGCCTAAAAATATAATGACAATCGGGGATAACGTCAAAGTGTATTAATTAAGAGTGATAATTAGATAATTGGGGAATATTCACCTTTGTTTCATAAGGAAGTGTTCACCTGTTTTGTTGGGGTAACACTTAATTTTGTTTCAGAGTAAAATCTTGCCATTTTTATGCTGCCTTTTTTTTTGCTTTTTTTTTTACAAGTTTGCCATTTTTATGCAGATATGCATGCTTCATCTTGCTCTGCAATTAGAACCTACATCAATTAAACTTTTTCTGTATCTGATATCTGTCAATCTGGTGTGATGATATTTAACAGTAAATTCACAGTTTGGAATGAAGCAAATTTATTACCTGATATTACATCGAACATAAGTCAACAACATACTTTTACACTGTCGTTGGATGTGAGAGGTAAAATGAACGCAGGGCGAATTTGGATTTCACCGGTAAAGGGCGAAAGTTTGACAGGGTAAAAATGTCGCGGTATATAGAAAGTTAGACGGGGTAAAAATGTCCCGGTATATAGTACATTGACTGTACAACCATTAATTCATCAATTCAACTTTATTCTCTTTCACAAAACATTGTATAGAGAAACATATTTACAATATAATATAAAGTGATTATAGTGTTCGTAGTCGGTAGTGCACAGTACTGTGTCATAATAAAGGCACATTTGTATCAGAATAAAAACATGAAGGATGAGTTAGGGGCTAGAATATGTAATCTTCTTTATTTGTGAGGACTTTAAATGTTTACAGGGATTTAATATAACACTCTAGGCTAATCGGGAGTAAACTGGATACGATCCCTATAGTGATAAAATAGTACTAAATCACACATTACAGGATCTCTGTTTAATTAAGGCTTTTCTCCTTGATTGAAATTGATCACCAAAAACTACTCATTTACAAATCTAGTCAATAATTACGGGATTTGTGATTTGTTTTATCTGTTGTTAAACTTATGGTTGAGAGCTCAAATGATAATAAGGGGATTTAAATATTGGTTAATTCTTACACCACATGTATTTAATCGTTTATAATTGTTAATTTTTCTCCATGCCCTGAACATGTTATGATTAAAACGACGTATGTATACGTCATATAAAATCAAGCTGTACTTAATGATTGTTTTTTTATGAAATCTTTTTTTGGGCTTGTTCATAGAGTAGTGGTATAGTGAGTTTTTTAATTGTTACTATGCAAATAGATAAATTTTGCAATATTGCAGTATTTAAATACAAAATTATAAAAGTGTTCTTTTATTGTAAAAATGCTATTCTTTGCCATTTTATTCACAAAATATTCCTCACATGTTGTAGATGCTCTCAGAGATCACAAATTATTCATTTATGAAGAACTAAGGTGAAATCATTTTTATTTTGCTTGTATACTTTGTAAGCAATTATATGTAAAATAGTGGAGGCTTTTTTGTTTGTTTTCAGAAGCATCTGTTTTCAGAACGCTTTGCCAAGTCAAATTGTTTTGTAAATCGGCTATAAGCCGGGTTCTTCACATTTAAGTGCAAGAATAAAATAACTGTTGTGATATTTTTTTTCTCTGTATATGTACACGTTCCTGTATTTGTACATGTTCCTGTATTTGTACATGTTCCTGTATGTGTACATGTTTCTGTATGTGTACACGTTCCTGTATTTGTACATGTTCCTGTATGTGTACATGTTCCTGTATGTGTACACGTTCCTGTATTTGTACATGTTCCTGTCTGTGTACATGTTTCTGTATGTGTACACGTTCCCGTATGTGTACACGTTCCTGTATGTGTACATGTTTCTGTATGTGTATACGTTCCTGTATGTGTATATGTTCCGGTATGTGTACACGTTCCTGTATGTGTACACGTTCATGTATGTGTACACGTTCCTGTATGTGTACATGTTCCTGTATGTGTACACGTTC